TTTTAAGTTCATGTGACATTTGGAAGTCACTTGTATCTGAGGTAGTCATTTTCATCAAGTACTGGCACGTCGGAGTGATTTTAAATTTTGCCGTTTGTCACCACCTGGTGGTAGAACATTTTCCCATTTTCTTAGAATTTTGCATTTGAAGTTCTTTTTTGTTGCCAAGGAAAATCTCTAAACCAAGAAAATAAGTTTAGCAAATATGTAGCTTTAGCCTTGATAGTCAAGTATTAAAGTATAGTAGCCATACTTAGGCACTTAATAATAACATTTGTTTAATGAATGAATTTTTGTCTTAGTAAATTGCAATGTCTATGATCTTTTCATTTGAATCGCAAAAAGCCCTCAAATGTGATGAAAGAAAGTGATCCACAGTATTACCTTATCAGAGGTAGTTTCCTCTTTTTAAAGCTTAATTGATTTTTGGTTTAAGCTAATAGAGCTACATGATTAAGAAGCAGTTGGCTAAGGCATTTTATTATTATTTTAAGGATACAACTACATTTAAAGTTACAATATTTAAAAGATATTTTCCATGATACCAAACGGTAAGAGAAAATTGGGTGAAAATGTATCAAATAAGATTGGAAAGGTGTAAAAACTGCAACTTCCAGCCTTGAACTCGTCAAAAAACAGCTGGACATCATTTGTTGTAGAACGTTGCCCCCTCGTGGACAAAAAAGGAAGTACCAAAGGCTGTGGAGTTTTTAAGGTGGAAATTTTTTATTGCCAGAAAGTTCCTATTTATTGCCAGAAATTTTTTATTGCCAGAAAAGGTGGAACATTTAAAAACTACTGTAACAGAATAAATAAAACTTAATCATTGGAAACAACAGCAATGACAGATCTGACAACATACTTACTTACCAAAGCAATTAATTTGTTAAAATTCCCAAAGGCATTTGATGAAAAAGTATGAGCCAGAGTTATTTCTAAGTCCCCAATTTGGCTATATCTTAAGGCAAGTCACTTGACCTTTAGGAGGCTCAATTACACATCTGTCCAACAAGGGGAGTGGATTAGACAGATCATACTCTTTTCAGTTCTTGCAAATGCATGACTTTGAGGTCCTAGCTATTTTAAATCCAAATGCAATTTACAGCAATTTTTCTGTTTTTATTATTTGTATTTCTGGATATGTAACTGGCTTAACATAGACGTTTTCTATCTATCTTCTCATTTATAATCAAATAAAATATCCATTTGTCTACTATTACTTAGGAACATATGTTCCCCCCACAAAGTACTAATGCTAAACAGCTTTCCTCTTCTAATTGGTAAATCCTCTGGTTTGAAAACATGAATAGCATTACATGTTTATGAAATACGTACATTGTTTCTGTAGACAATGTTTACACTAAAACAATGCAAATAGCTCATGTATTTTACCAGATTCCTTCATTTCATGGCTACTTGAATACTTAATTTGGTAGACTTCTTGAGAATTCTGAATAGAGTATTGTATCTATAGTATATAAATAAATGAAATACAAACATGCAAAGTATAAATAAGAATGAACACTGTTTATTCCTTGTACTTTAAAATGCATGAAACGTTTTCTTTTCTCTGTTAATAGAGGACACGATGCTTTTAAAAGGTCAAACGATTAATTGTAAAAGTATTTTTATGCCAAATATTTTAACTTTTATTAGGTCATCTCTACCAATAATAAAAACTGGTTAAGATCTATAAATTAGAACATATCAAGATTTACGTTTCCATCAGCACATATGTATTCTATAAAGAGAAAACCAGAAATATGGTAGGGGTGAATTCAGCATGTGAGCATCAGGTACACGTTTAAATCAAGAAGCAAACTTTAATGAGTGGGAGTGCAAAATTGGCTTACAAGGATCCAATATCACATGTCACTTTTACTAGCGCCATGTACAAATCTGATTCCTTTGGTCTTGTGTATCTAGTAAAGTATGTGTTTCAATTCACAATTTTGTTTATAAATATACTTATACGTACATATTTGTGTCACACTACAAATGCCTGAAGAGAGTGCTGGTCTTTAAAAACAAAAAAGTGAGTAGATTAAATGTTCTTCTGAGCATGGATGGAGTTTTTCAAGCTTAGGAATTGGCAACTTCTACACCCATGCCTCTGTTGAAACTATTAAAAAAGAATCATTTCCCAGAACTACAGGTGCACAACAGATTGGAGTCATTATGCAAAAGAACAGAAATCTGGAGAGAAACCCAGTGAATAAAAAAGCCATGTTCCTGGCCATCCTTTTGTTGTTAGCTGTTTTTTCAGCTCTATTTGTATATACAACGTGAAATCTGCAAAAATTATAATGGATTTGAAGCAATCCATTCAAGATTAGAAATGTATGCCTTGAATTCAACAAACTTCCATTAAGAACCCCACTGGAGGCAGAAAGAGGCTAACGGCACAACTTGCTCTAATAGAAAAGTTAAATTTTATGTAGGGGAGTTCAAAGTTGGGAATGCATTACATGATTTTTTTTTAACTACACATTTTTTTTTTTCTGCTGGTTTTCTGAATTTCCCATCCTGTCCCCATTCAAGGGAATCACACTGAACCATACTGATGTGGTAAGTCTTTCAGCCCCTGGGCCACCTCACATATCTGACATCTTTGTCTCAAAACCAGTCTGATCACCACCTTCTGGTCACCATCTACTGTTTCCAGAACCCTCCTCCAAGCAAGGGGTTTGAAAACTTACTGGTGGCTTTGCCATCATGTTTTCATGATTCCAAAGTCAGTATCTTGTAAGTGTAAAGTGACTTTTCCTCTAATGTTCTCTCAAGTATCTTACTTTTCTTCTAGGTAGAATGAAAGAACAAATGAATTGAAATCATTGAAAGGTGGCACATTTAAAAACTACTGTAACAGAGGAGAGAAATGTGAAAATGAAGAAGAAGACGGAGGAGGAGGAAGAGGAGGAGGGGGTAGAAAAAGAGAAGAGGAGGAAGAAGAAAGTCTAGAAACCGAACCTGGAGGGGCAGGGCTGTTTGCATGGGAAGTGACACTCCGACGCAGAGTGAAGTGAATCGCTTAGTCCCAAGATGAACAGAAATTTAGGCTAGACGATGTAGAAATGAATGAGACCACTCAGGAGTGTAGGTCAATATTAAATTTGAAGGAGAAAGGCAATGGGGTAAGTAGGCTGGGAAGGGAGGCTGGGTGGAAGGAGGCGGGCAGAAACACAGTGCCAACATGTTAGCTAGATGGAGGGAAAGTGGAACAGCAAAGACAAGGGGGAAGCTGGTCATCCACGTACTTTAAGCTGCTATTAAAAACGTATGTCATTCTCGGGTTGATCATTCAGCATTTCACTATGACACTGACCTTAGCCAGGGACAACTGCATTCAAGAATGCATCCATTCCTCAGCGTGTGGGGCCAGGAGGTGTTGCTGCCCCTAGCAAGCCTGAAGCCTGTGTGCTTCTCTGTGCCATTCTTTCCCATTGGAGCTTTCCTAAAGAGTGGCAAGCAAGGCTTTTGAGTTTGTTTTTTTCCAGCAGGCAATCTAGAACTCTGAGAGTAGAGGAAGTTGGAAAGTATTCTGAAAGCAAAAGTTGGAAGAAGGGCGCGTGGGAGCACTTGGAGGGGCGCTTCTGGCTGGGGCAGAATGAAGTTGGGAAGGTCTGGGGAGGAGTGAAAGGGCTGCCACAAAACTTGGTGAAAATGGAGGGGCGGGGGCGGCGAGACAGAACACCGGGCAAGGAAGGGGGAGCCCGCATGAGAGGGACACAGGTCTGCCCCGAGACTGAGGCGGCCGTTCTCACCATTGTCCCCTGGTTTTCCGCCTGTGGAAGCATTATGAAACATTTCCTTCCTCTGTGTCATTGAGCCCCTCCCTCCCTCTTTTTCGATGGAAGAGGCAGTTCAGCTTTTTCTTAGGAACCTAAGAGGTGGAAAGGCTCATCTTTGCTCTCGCTTTCATAACACGGATGCAGACTTTTCCCTTCCCGGTGGGAAGAAGAGGGAGGGGTCAGGGAAGGAAGCCAGCTTCCCAATTTCCCCACTGCACACTTTCTAGCCCCAGCGATCCCGCTGGTCCCCTGGAAAAGTGGGATTCCTTCACGGTTCTGCCAGCCTGGCCTACGTTCTGCGGCAGCTATTAGGTAGAAGAAGGCAGACTGGGCGGGAGTTGATTATTTCTGGAATGAAGAAGAGAAAGCGCAAGTCCCTCCCTAGGCTGTAGGGAACTGAAACGCGTTCCAGATCACCTATTCCGGAAGTATGAGCCTGGTCCCCAAAGAGAAGTCTCTAAGTCAGGGGATGAGAGGGGTGGCGGTAAAGGTCAATGCGAACACATTTTGAAACCTAGAGCCTGGGAAGTGTCCCCCAGACCCAGGCATGCTTTCTAGGGAGGCACTGACCAAACAAGCTTTCCCCGGGAAATGCTGGGGCGAAGAGAGAGCAAGCTGCACAAACCGGCTGCGGCAGGCCAGGGAGATGGAGAGGCGGGGTGGGGTATTTTTTCTAGAAAGGGCAGTCCTGGCTCATCTCACAAACTGGGGAGTAAGGGGCTGCAGGAAGGGGTGACAAAGGGAGGAGGCACAGTGACAGCCCCCAGGCAGGGAAATCTTGGAGCAGGGACTCAGCTCTCCACCCCCACCGTCCCTTCTGGGAACTGCAGCCCAGCGCGCGAACCGCGCTCCCGCACAAGGGCGGCGAGAAAGGAGGGTGGTCCGGGAAGCCCGCGAAAGGGAAGGCGCAGTGGAAGGGAGTACCTTCTCCCCGCATCAGCCCCAGACGCACAAAGTGCTGGTCACAGCGCCCCTCCTGCGTCTTCCGCCCCCGGATTGACGAGGCCGTGGCGCCCTGCCAGCGCGGAGGCCGTCCCCTCCCCCGCCCGGGCCCGCGGCGCTGAGCGCGGTTTAGCACCGACTGAGTTTAGGGGGCGGTGTCTTTGGGATGGAAAGGCGGCCAAGAGGGAAAGAGAAGGGGGGGGTGGAGACGCAGTCGAGACTATAAAAGGGCGGCCCGGGCTGCCTGGTTCTTTGCACTCGCTGGAGAGCGGCTCCACGCCAGGGGCCACTGCAAAGCCAGGGCGCAGCAGAGTAGGGCCGAGAGGGCCGAGTCTTGCGCAAAGCCAGCAGCTCTGCGGCCAAGGCGGAGACCGAAGAGGGGCTCCAGGCACCGATCCTCGCGTTGCCCGCTGCCCCCTGCCCCGGAGGCGTCCCAGGGCGCTCTTCGTCCCTGCAGCAGCCTCCCTGCCAGTCCCTGCTGCGCGGTGCCTCCAACTCTGCGCTAGAAGAAAAACTTCCCGCGCACCCGCAGAACTGCATCGCCTCTTTCCCAGTGACTCCGGGAGTCCCGTCCGCGGCCGGCTCTGCGCGCACTTTCAAAGAATAATAGTAACTGTAACAACCCAGAGTGAGGCCAGCGAGGCTCTGTGCTCCCGCCCCGAACAATAGCCCCCTCGCTCGGTGCACTGCGGCGCGCGGTGCCTCCCGGGACTCGGGTGCAGCGACCGGTCCCCGCGGGGTTTCGAAGGCGCACAGGAGGCAGCGACATGGGGAACGCGGAGCTGGCGCGGCGGCCTCGGGGCTCACAGCCTGCGCCCGCGCTGCTACTGCTCGCGGCCGCTGCAGCACTGCTGCTCCTGCCGGGCGCGCGCGGGCGCCCCGCAGAGGAAGACGAGGAGTTGGTGCAGCCCGCCTTGGAGCGCGCGCCGGGACACACGACCACGCACCTCCGCCTGGACGCCTTCGGTCGACAGCTGCACCTGGAGCTGCAGCCCGACCGCGGCTTCCTGGCGCCGGGTTTCACGCTGCAGACCGTGGGGCGCAGGCCCGGGCCCGACGCGCTGCGTCCGGACGCCGCCGGTGACCTGGCGCACTGCTTCTACTCCGGCACGGTGAACGGCGACTCCGGCTCGGCCGCCGCTCTTAGCCTCTGCGAGGGCGTGCGCGGCGCCTTCTACCTGCAGGGCGAGGAGTACTTCATCCAGCCCGCGCCCGTCGCAGCCACCGTGCGACTCGGCGCCGCCGCCGCCGCCGCCGCCGCCGGGGAGGAGCCGCCGGAGCGGCCCCAGTTCCATCTCCTGCGGCGGAGGCGGCGAGGCGGCGGCGGCGCCAAATGCGGGGTCACGGACGACGAGACCCAGATCGCGAGGGGCGCGAGCCGGCAGGGCGAGGACGCCCGGGCGCAGTGGCCGCGGCGGGACCCGGCGCCGCAGCGGGCGGGACAGCCGACAGGTATGGATCCCTGAAGAGTTGCTCTCACTTGTCTCTCTCCATTCATCCCCCTTTCCCCACTGTCTCTGTGCGGCCCGTGTTGAGGGGGAACTCCTGTGCGCAGGCAGGCACATATGTCTGCGGACAGGACGGAGGCCTGGTGTGGAAGAATGTGGCTTGAGGTTTGGGTTGTCAAACTCAGCCCATGCTGCTAGAACAGAATCCCGTTTGCCCGAATAATGAATGATCAAGAGAAGACAACGATTTTCTACTAAGGCGCAGCGTTTCGACAGGGAAGGGAAGAGTTGGTAATCCTACTCCTCCCACCTTAGTTTAGTGTGAGCGCGTGTGACTTTTTCCCGTCCTGTTTCTTTTTCACGCCGGTGCATGTGTTCTTCGGTCGGGTTGCAACTTTGCGCTTAGGTCTCGTAGGTGCTGCGTGGGCGCGCACCCTGCGCCCAGAGGAGGGCGGAGATGGAGGGCGGAGGAGCGACGGCGACCTCGCAGAGCGCAACCGCGAGCCTGGACAGCTGCGCTAGGATCTCCGTTCCCCTGGCCTCCGCCTGCGCCCCCTTCCCCCTTAAGAGGCTGACCCCGACCGGCTGGCGGCGGCGGGGCCCCTCTGCAGAACCTGCTTGGGAGGTCTTTGCCCAGCTGGCCCCTCCTCTCCGCGCCTCCCACCCGGCCTCCCAGTTTGCGCTCCCTCTCGCGGCCAAAATTCTGCTCTCAAGCTCGCTTGCGCGTTAGTCACTGCTCATCTTTCCTGCAACGCCTCACCCTCTCAGTGGTATGCGGTGCTTACTGTCCTGTTCTCTTCATTCTATCACGTTGGTGCCTTTTTTCGTCCTTAACTTTCTCGCGTGTCTTGTTTTCGAATGTTCCTCTTTTCCCCCTGGACAACTGCTCCTTGAAGCCCTTACAGGGTCAGCGTCCAGTTAGGGCTCCCCTGGGGGCTGGGTTTTCAGTCAAGAGTCAGAGGGCTCTTTTTTGCATAATCAAACGTGGCCCCACAGCTCAAGGCAGGAACTTTAGTTCCCTGGGGCAGTGGGAGTAGGGCAGTAGGCTGCTGGGCAGAGTGTGTGGTCCTCGTGCCCGGATTTGGCAAGAGCAGAACGCCCCCAGGGACCCCTGGAATGAGCAGAGCAGGCTGAGGTTCCTTCAGGCCCGGCCCCTTGGCAGAGGCCCCAGCCCTGCCCTGGGCCTTCCACGTGGAGTCTGATGATCTCATTCAGGATTTGAGTCCTGGCCTGTGAAAGAGTGACTCAGGGGCTCTGCGGGCTACCCTTGCTCCAAGTTTTTACTACAGCTGGGTAGGGTGATGAGCATACTGCCTTGTTCAGCTTATAGGATTTCAAAAAGGACAAAAGAAATCCTGCTCACCAAAAAAAAAAAAAAAAAAGGCTGACCCCCTCACTGACTCGCATGGCTTTTTTATTTCAAGTAGACAGAAAAATAATAATAATAAAGGGGAAAAAACTTTAAAAATAACACTTTCGGTAAAAAGAGATGCAAATATTTTTGTTATTGTTGTTCCAGGTATATTTTTGGCTTATTTGCTTTGACGGGTTAGGCTTTCCTTATATACTCTGGGAAGGTCACTATTCTTGGCAAGACTGCCCCTGAGCAAAGGATCTTTTTTGTGTCTTGACAGGAACTGGAAGCGTAAGAAAGAAGCGGTTTGTGTCCAGCCACCGCTATGTGGAAACTATGCTTGTGGCCGACCAGTCCATGGCAGAGTTTCACGGCAGTGGCCTGAAGCACTACCTTCTTACCTTGTTCTCGGTGGCAGCCAGGCTGTACAAACACCCCAGCATTCGGAATTCAGTGAGCCTGGTGGTAGTGAAGATCCTGGTCATCTACGAGGAACAGAAGGGGCCAGAAGTGACCTCCAACGCCGCCCTCACTCTACGGAACTTCTGCCACTGGCAGAAGCAGCACAACCCGCCCAGTGACCGGGATGGAGAGCACTATGACACAGCGATTCTCTTCACCAGACAGGTGAGAGCAAGACCCTGCGGATCAGGACTGGCCTCTGGGGAGACCACTTTAACACAAGCAAAAGCTCATGAGGCATTTCCCCAGTGTTTTTGCACTTCCTTTTTTTTTTTTAAATTGGCCAGCCTGGTCCTTTTTTCCTTAGGTCTTCCTTAATTTTAATATCTCAAGTCTCACAGTCCTATTTGAATAGCATTAGAGAAAAATCTTAATTAAAGTCTCCCAAAGTGGTCCCCAAAGGACAGCTCAGCAACAGTGAATGGAAATGCTCCCAAACAAACGTGGAGATACATGTTGCCAAAAAGTTAGGTCCCAAGGTTCATGCTCTCTGTCCCTATGAGTCAGGACCCACCTCTGTTCCTTTTAGGACCTGTGTGGGGCCCAGACGTGTGACACTCTTGGGATGGCTGATGTTGGAACCATATGTGATCCCAGCCGAAGCTGCTCAGTCATAGAAGATGATGGCTTGCAAGCTGCCTTCACCACAGCTCATGAACTAGGTGAGTCCGTTTCAGAGTAGGAGTGGAGTCGGCTTCATGAATTATCAAACCAATAAACCGTGTGCTCATTGAATGGGGGGCGGGGGGCAGCTGGCAGGTTATGTTGCTATTTTAGATTCCAGAGCTTTCTAGAAACTGCGGGAAGCATTTTTTTTTCCTCACTATTCTAAACACGGCCAACCTTATTAGGATTCAGAATAACATAGGAGGGGCTCTGGACCTTTGGAAATTCACATATTTGTTTGCACCTTGTGAAAAACAGGCACATTGCGTCCAAACTAGATTGTTTCTTCTAGAAATATCACTTTGAGACAGGTGAATCGCCGATGGGGGAGAAAATGCTGCAAATGACCTATATTTTGATGTGGGTTTTGGATTGCTCCTTAGGCCACGTGTTTAACATGCCCCATGACGATGCAAAGCAGTGTACCAGCATTAATGGCATTGACCAGAATTCCCACATGATGGCGTCAATGCTTTCCAACCTGAACCACAGCCAGCCTTGGTCTCCCTGCAGTGCCTACATGATTACGTCATTTCTGGATAATGGTCACGGTAAGATGCTTGAGCTCCTCTTTCTAGATGTAATCCAGCTTCCACATGGAACGTTCTAGTTAAACCAGCTCTTTCTCTCCTTTTTTGTCCTTTTTATTTCTCCTCCTTCCAAATTACTCTCATTGTCAAGAGCATACATTTTTAGATCTTAATTCCCAATAACAGATAATTCTTCTGGCCAAGGAGCTCCTAATGTACATTAACTTGAGTGTTTTAGCAGAACAATAACTTCCCGTCACTGTTAATGCAGAAATACCCCTTTGAGGACAATCTTTTACAAATCGTTTAAACCTCTCTGGCATTTTCCCCAGAAGCTCTAGTGTTCAAATCACTCTGCTATATATCATGTCCTGTGATACATATTTTCTGAAGCTGATCTGTCTTTGCTGTGTTTTCATATGAGTTGGCATTTCCTTTGCAGGGGAATGTCTGATGGACAAGCCCCAGAGCCCCATCCAGCTCCCCTCGGATCTCCCCGGGACCTTGTATGATGCCAACCGGCAGTGCCAATTTACCTTTGGGGAGGAGTCCAAACACTGCCTGGATGCAGCCAGCACGTGCATGACCCTCTGGTGCACAGGCACCTCTGGCGGACTGCTGGTGTGTCAAACCAAACACTTCCCTTGGGCAGACGGCACCAGCTGTGGGGAAGGGAGATGGTGTATCAACGGCAAGTGTGTGAACAAGACGGACAAGATGCACTTTCATGTGAGTTTTTCTATCGCAACATGGGCACACTCCTTTAAAATTCAGAATTGGAGGGAACAAAGTGATGCTAAAGTATCAGATACCAGCATAAACATCCCTGTCTGTGGCTTTGATGATTCTTTTTACAGCCGATTCTTTATCCCTTATTTTTCTCTTTTATTTCCTAAAAAGATCTCTGTAGAGAGTTCTAATGCTGATCACTTGTGTCTAGACTCCTGTTCATGGAAGCTGGGGACCATGGGGACCCTGGGGAGAATGTTCGAGAACGTGTGGCGGAGGAGTTCAGTACACAATGAGGGAATGCGACAACCCGGTCCCCAAAAATGGAGGGAAGTACTGTGAAGGCAAGCGCATGCGCTACAGGTCATGTAACATTGAAGACTGTCCAGACAACAATGGTGAGTAGACGTGGGGCAAAAACCGTGTGGCCACGAGCCAGCAGGTAAGGGTTGAAAACTGATGATGTCATTGTATCCTTTTCTTTCCAGGAAAAACCTTCAGAGAGGAGCAGTGTGAGGCACACAATGAGTTTTCTAAGGTGTCCTTTGGGAGTGGGCCCGCAGTGGAGTGGACACCCAAGTATGCTGGAGTCTCACCCAAGGACAGGTGCAAGCTCATCTGTCAAGCCAAAGGCGTTGGCTTCTTCTTCGTTTTGCAGCCCAAGGTAGTTACTTTCATTCATACTCTTGCCTAAGAAACGAGGGCTTGAATTGTGACTTTTTCACACAACCTCTGGTGCAGTTCCATTAGTTTATATATAAACATGTTCCGTTTCAAATCGGATCTCCTTGTCTTCTAGATACATTGGTAACTGCCCACTTTGAGTGTACTGTCATTGTCAGTTATGAATAAAGCTTGAATCCAGCACTCAGGATTCTTATCATTGCTTGTTATTACTCTGATATACAAAGAAAAGCCCATTATGGTTAGATAAATTCACATGGCAGCCAACCAGTGGTTTTGGAAAATAGCTTAGGCGAGGACCAAAGTATTAACTGGTGATTGGCAGTAGCATGTGCAAATGGACTTACTAAAATGAAGTCTGAGCATCAGTAACTCTTGTGTTTGAGGACATATATTAAACTAGAAAAAGCATCATTTTGTTGTTTTGCCGAGGGGATAAATCTGGTTCTGAGGTAAAAAAAAGGAAATGAATTTTGGTTGAGGCGGTCATGTGCCGTTATCACTGTAGGCTATGAAAATACTTCCCAGGTGCAGATTTAACATATAATATTCAGCATCTACGATTGCTGGATATTATTCTAGGCACGGAGCAGACCGCAGTAAACAAAGTGACAAGCTCTGCCTTCGTTGACCTTACCTAGAAGTGAGATGGGTCAATAAACAAATTATCAAAAAAATTTATAATTTTTTCAGACGTCTACATCTACTGTGGGGAGAAAGTCACCAAGAAGGGTAGTACGTGACAGGCATCGAGTTCTGTTTTAACTATGATGGTCGGGAAGGCAGAGACATTATGTTAACGAGAGAAACTTTCCTAATTATCAGGGCATTATCTCTTTCCCTTGTTAACGCGTGACACCGGATATATTGCTCTTCTCTTCTTCAGGTGGTTGACGGTACCCCGTGTAGCCCAGATTCTACCTCCGTCTGCGTGCAGGGACAGTGTGTAAAAGCTGGTTGCGATCGTATCATAGACTCCAAAAAGAAGTTTGATAAATGTGGCATCTGTGGAGGGAACGGATCTACGTGCAAGAAAACATCAGGCTCGGTGACCAGTGCAAAGTGAGTTTTAAGACGTCATACTGCCAAAGATCTTATCATTTAGATGTGATTTTACGAGTCTGATAAAAATCACATGCTCACTGATGAGCACAGTTTCACGCTAAGTAACAGAATCAGCCAAGGGACTGAGAGATTCTTCTGTCTGTTTTTTCTCCCGCAGACCTGGCTATCACGATATTGTCACAATTCCGGCTGGAGCCACAAACATCGAAGTGAAGCAGCGGAATCACCGGGGATCCAGAAATAATGGGAGCTATCTTGCTATCAAAGCTGCCGATGGCACCTATATCCTGAATGGCGACTTCACTCTGTCCACTTTAGAGCAAGACATTACCTACAAAGGGACCGTCCTGAGGTACAGTGGTTCCTCCGCCTCGTTGGAAAGAATCCGCAGCTTCAGCCCTCTCAAAGAGCCCATAACCATCCAGGTCCTCACAGTGGGCAATGCCCTCCGCCCCAAAATCAAGTACACCTATTTTGTGAAGAAGAAGAAGGAATCTTTCAACGCCATCCCTACTTTCTCCGAATGGGTCATCGAAGAGTGGGGCGAATGCTCCAAGTCGTGCGGACGGGGTTGGCAGCGGAGACTGGTGGAGTGCCGGGACATTAACGGGCAGCCCGCCTCCGAGTGCGCCAAGGAAGTGAAGCCGGCCAGCACCAGACCCTGCGCGGACCTGCCCTGCCCCCACTGGCAGCTAGGGGATTGGTCCCCATGTTCCAAGACCTGCGGGAAGGGTTACAAAAAGAGAACCTTGCAGTGTCTGTCCCATGATGGGGGGGTCTTGTCTCACGAGAGCTGTGATCCTTTGAAGAAACCGAAGCATTACATAGATTTTTGTACGATGGCAGAATGTAGTTAAGCAGCGTCGGTGTGGAGGGAAGGACTAGGTGTGGAAGGGCTGATGCACTGAAATCAAGAAGGCTGGAGGAATCCAGTGTACCTTGCCAGTGAGCGACAAGGAGCGTCGAGGAGTTGGGAGGGTAGAGGTAGGTAGAGAAGAAGTTAGATCGTCAGAATATCCTGCCAGTTACAAATCTGATAGGGTAGTTAATGAGGGTTATTAATCTCTGAGCAATGATATAGCATGATAAAGCCCCAGGGCATTATTATTATTCCTTTTGTTACATCTATGACAAGTTTTAAAAAAAAATAGAAACGATTGTCAAACTTAGTTTAAGGAGTATGCAATCCCTGTTTTGTGGTACTGATTAAATACTTTGTATCAGGCGGTTTGGGGAATGGAAAGCAGGAAAGAGAAGAGATTTTTTTTAGTTTCAGACAGGGCTTAACTTTACCTCACTAACAACGGAGGGAGGAAAGGGGTACAGATAGCATCTTTAACCAGCACTGACTATGGCTGCTACCATTTCGGAGAATGTTTCTGCCATCTTTTCTGCCCAGAGGTAAGAATTCAAGACTGTCGACCACGAGAGAGAAATACTTAACAACCTCAGATGACTCAAGTGAACTCCATCTTCACTTTCTTGTGGCCTTGTTGTGTCTTTATTTGTGATTTCATTTTGACAAACAATTCCACGTGTTTGTAGAAATGCAGGAAACCTACAAGGGTTAAAAAAGCAGCGATGAATCAGATGCTCAGAAAAGCCAGAGGAGTCGAGATGGGCTCAGTACGTCCTATTTTCTTTCCTCTGTATGTAAGCCTACTTTAGGAATGTGGATGTTAAAAAAAACAAAAACAAAAAGTTCATGTCTCAAGAAAGACCGGGTGATCATACAAAAAAGGATGTAATGCCAATATTAGAATGGGGTGTGTAGAATGGGATCCCCAGTGTTTGGGGACATGGAGATCACTTGTCTCACAGTGGGGAGGCTACTGAGGGGTAGCAGGTCCATCCCCAGCAGCTGGTCCAACAGTCATATCCTGGTGAATGTCTGTTCAGCTCTTCTACTATGAAAGAGAATATGACTTTCTTTTTCCATATGTATATAGTAAAATATGTTACTATAAATTCTACATACTTTATAAGTATTTGTGTGTTCCTTCTAAGAAGGACTATAGTTTGTAATAAAAGCCTATAATAACATATTTATTTTTATACATTTCTTTCTAATAAAACTTTTAAGTTATATCGCTTTTGTAAAAGGGCATATAAAAATAGAGTATTTATACAATATATGTTACTAGAAATAATAAAAGAACACTTTTTGAATGTGTGTCTTTTTTTTTAAATGGGAATTAATTCTGGGGAAGGAAATCTGAGACACAAATACTGAATTTGAAGACTGAATAATTTTCTTAAATTCTATAGAAATAAGGTTTCATTCTAATTAAATGTATTTTATGTATCCTTAATGTATGTGATTGCTACCAAAAAAGAAATCTATTATATCATCTGTGATAGATTTTGTTAAACGTACACCAGTGGTTGGCAAATGTTTTCTGTGAAGAGCCAGATAGTAAATATTTTCGGTTTTGTTGGCCAGATATCTCTGTCACAACTACTCACCTGTGCTGTTGTAGCATGAAAACAGCCAGAGACAATACATCCATGAATGGGCATGGTGGTGTTCTAATAAAACTTTATTTACAAAAACCGGGCCAAATTCGTTCTGTGGGCAGTTTGCCAACTTTGGACATAGAACGCAAATGAGAAAAGGTGGGGTTCCAGATGCATTTTGAACTTGTGTCTCTTCGATTATATCATATGAGTAAAATTTGTGAAAGCATTGAAGGTACTGAGTAGAAAATGACGCCTCATAAATAACATTTGGGGATAGACCTGCATGGTGAGCCCAGCCGTGTGAATGTTCTACTTGCTCTTCAGGAACAGGTGTTTGGAGAAACCCTGGAACACTCTGGGTGGCCTTCCATAAATCACTGTAATTTAAATACTAAAGGGTACATCAATGATTTTAAACATTGAGACCGCTTCCAAAGTAACTACATTTCTCTCAGGAAATAGCTTATTTCCTAGAAGACTCGGATTATGTGGTTAACCACAGACAACTCCCATGTTACATTTTCATCCTTTTTTTCACCCTCCTTAGTTTTCTCAAGTAGTTCTATATAACACGCAAATTTCAGATTGGGATGATCAGGACACAAAGATAAAAGCAGCCAAAAGACGTTCCACCATCCCCTATTCTCCATCCAAGGCAATGCCAAACAACTTTCTAAGTTGCCTCATTATTTTTTTTCAGCCCTCTGTTGGTAAGATTTTCTTTTTATCAATAAACCAAGCAGTTTAAGATACTCGATATGGGCACAAAGAGAGTTTAGGTCAAAACACACATCTAGTGACTTTTCCAGGGAAACCCTCCTAGAACCCTTAGCTAGGTGATACTCTAAAAGCACTCTGCACTTTCCCTTCTTGTCACTTTTCACAAAAATCCCCTACTCTTCTAGCTCTGGGCCTGTTTTGCTCGCTCTTATTTCCCCAGTTCCTAGATTTTTTGCCTGTGTGCTATTTTTATTCAACGAATAACCCTTAAACTTAGTCAAACTACTGGACATAGAAATTTTCACTCCTTGGAATCTGTGCTAAATAATCAAAGTTCCCAAAGATTTATGTATGAATGTTACATAAATCTGAATACAGGCATTAAAGGAGTATGCTGAGGACTATTTATGAAAACAAAACGTGAATTACAGACAGTAATAATGATGGCCAACATCCCTGGAAGTTAACTATGTGTTTTACATAAGTTAATTCTGTTAATAACCACCTACCCCCCCAAAAAACTCTGATGTAGATATTATTACTATTACCATCTGTTAGAAAAGGAAACAAGCAAAGAGAAATTGAACTACTTGATTGAGATAGAACAGTTAGCAGGCAGCTGAGCAAGGATTCCAATCCAGGTAGCCAACCTTAAGAGCCTGTACCATCTCCATTCTTAAGCATTAAACCATATTAGGGGCACCTGGGTGGTTCAGTTATTTAAGTGTCTGACTTGATTTTGGCTCAGGTCATGATCTCAGGGTCCTGGAAGCAAGCCCCACATGGGGCTCCATGCTCAGTGTGGAGTCTGCTTAAGGATTCTCTCTCTTCCTTTCCCTCTGCCCCTTCCCCCACTCACACCCTCTCTCTCTCTCTTTCTCTAAAATAAGTAAATAAATCTTTAAAAAAAAAACATTGCTCCAGAGTTGTATATACAAACACATACACACATTCTCACACTTACAAATGCATATACTCAAAAATAATCCAACTGGCTATTTTTATTTGCTTCTTTGTGCTTTTATGTATTTTCCAAATTTTCTACCAAAACACAACTGTATCTTTTTTATAATCAGAAAAAAAGTTATTTTTTAAAGGGTAGGAAAACCTTAAGTGGAGTGGTTTTCATTGTGTGAATTCATTCTAGTCAGTAATTTAGAGACACTGTAAATGTGACGTGTTTTTTGTTTGTTTGTTTGCCCCCAATAAGCCCTTTAAAAGCTGAAGCATTTTTGCAATACCATAACATTAAGGAAAGTCAGTTTTGTGGATATGTAAATGATGATGGCCATTCTCAGTGTGGAGGCAAAAATCAAGATAGAGAAACTGGTCAGTTTGTACTATAATTTCAGTATATATGTTACTTTCCAAAGATAGGTATACTAAATATCACTAAAAATTATTTAAAAATCAATTTCAGGGCGCCTGGCTGGCTCAGTCAGTTAAGCAGCTACCTTCTACTCAGGTCATGATCCCAGAGTCCTGGGATCAGTCCCACATCAGGCTCCCTGCTCAGCGGGGAGCCTGCTTCTCCCTCTGCTGCTCTCCCTGCTTGTGCTTACTCTCTCTCTCTCTCCCTCTGACAAATAAATAAAATCTTAAAAAGATATATTAAAAAAATTAAAAAATAAAAATTGATTTCAAATTCAAGTGTGTTTGGATTTTCCACCATTTTATATTTTTCTACCTCCCTATTCCTATTTGTCAGTGAAGAGGCTGAATGAGCAGTAAATCCCCAAGAATTTAGAGTTACTGACACTTTAATTTAAGAAAAAAAAGTGTGTACCTAGCAACTGGAGGAGATCCAGGAGAATCAAACTCATAAATTCCTATCAGGCATAAAATCCATATGGCTCGTGTATCTATGTGTGTGCATTTCACTGTGTTAGGAAGAAGTGCTTTAGTTCCCAAGCTGTGCAGGGTGCAAAAGTAGCCAAATGTTAGTGTTAAGGAAAAAGCTGGGCTCAAGATCCACACTGACATTCTCAAGTATCCTAGATTATCTACCAAACAGAAGCATTCATCAAAGCTAAGAGCAAAAGAACAAACTACAATTTTCCATATAGACATATGCATAAAAAGGCAAGATAACATCTGACAACAATATTCCTCTTTATTTATAAAGATTTGTGAAAATAACTTTCACATTACTTAAATTGTCCTCTTCAGTTGTCCTAATTTTCTTTATGGAAACTGTCAAGATGGGCAGAGAACTTTTTTTTTCCTTTTAGCCATAGACAAAAAGGATATCCAAGAAGCACTAACAGTAACATGTTAAGATGGAATAATGGCCTTTTAATTCAGCGGTGTTTATTGCCTTGAACAACACATCAGTGGAAAGGTCTTATCATCTCATAAACGAGGGGATATTTCCAAAATGTCTCTTGTTTCAAAAACTAAAACCAGATCCTGAAGTAAAATGATATGTCTGGAATTTTCTTTAAAATTTTCAAGCAAAAACAGAAAAGGTGGAGATAGATGAAACAAGACCAGCAAAGTGATAATTGGTAACGCTGAGTGATGGATAGAGACTCATTATCCTTTGTTCTCTACTTTTGTGTAACTAATTTCTTTCTAGGATGAAAAGTAAAAAGAAAAACCAAAAAACTAAAGAGAAGTTATACTTCTTTTGTCCAATTTACAAATCAAGTCAGTCTTGAAGTAATTGAAGATATAACATGTATTAGTCTCCTTTTCTACTCTCCCATGTGTTTTGGGGGAAGAATAAATGTACTTAAAATACACGCACTTACAAGCACAGAAACATTCTCTAAAACAGGTCGGTGTGGAGGGCAAGAGGCAATCACGTGGTAGCTGAGAGAAAGAAAGGAAGGAAGGAAGGAAGGAAGGAAGGAAGGGAGGGAGAAAGACATTCTTTTTACTTGTAGCACTGCAAAATGTGGAGTGATTCAATGGGTTCTCTGTTCTAATTGGCTGTGAATTTATCACTTTTCTACTGAGGCCCGATTTACATATTATCAGAGTCTGAAAAAAAATTCACTATTACATGTTACAAGTTTTGCATCAAGAGGAAGAAAAGCAAGCAAAGAGAATGAAAATGGAAAGTCACTTTTATTCATAAATAGATATGAAAGGCAAGCTGAGTGGGGGGAATACGAAAAGACCCAGAGGGATTCTCAGTTCCCCAAAGCTGAGGGAGGTGAGACCACCACTGGTGAAGCAGGAACACAATTTTGGGCACAGACAAAGGGCACATTTGGCAACCTTGAAGTTGCAGAT